CTTTAGAACGATAAAATAGTGCTTAAAATCTGAACGTTAAATTAAGTTCAGCTAGGAAATATAACAAAACTTTCCAAAAGCAATTCAAAATGTAGCAAAAACATACATCTATACTATCCCCGTACCAGTGAAACACTTACAAAATTAAAATACAGGACTCAAAAAGTTTTAACTTATGATATAATTATAAATTAATATAATACAAAATTTCAACACCTGTTTACAAATATGTTCTAAGTGACTGTTTGTAATGCGTTAAATGCTTTGAGCTCTTTTACAGATGATGCTTGCTTGGACAAGTTATTGTACCGAGAAGGCTGTATCAAGTCAAGGTCTTTTGATGTGTTAAGTGGCACTCTGAAACTACGTCTGACGAGAATCAAAAGCTCGCCCTCACCTTAGACATCAAACGTTCCAATTCGCTTTTACACCTTAGAGGAAGCACTAACTTGCTAGACTGGATTTGTAAGAACAAAGTCTAATTTCTTAGACGATTTCTAATTAAAATTAAAGTGTGTAAATTATTAGTATTTTCTTCATTCGTTTTAATTGCAAAACTGTGATACTTTTGTATATTGAGAAATGTTGTTAAAATCTAACTGTTAAATTTATCTTATTTGCGACCACTGTGAAATGAAATTAAATAAAAATATATTTTTATATGAAATAAAAATAAATATATCCCCGATCGAAATTTTAATTTAATGAGAACTGTTTTTATTTCCTTACGAAAGTTGATTTACCAATTTCTCGTTCTATACATATTTTAGGCTTTTTATATAAAGAACCTACGAGTAAAGTTTAGACGCTCAACCTAAACTGATATTGTGTTACATGTCATCGTTCAAGTGGATGCTATAACTTTAAAGCCTTTGACGAACACTATAAAGATGACGAGATGCATATCTATGAAACGGATTCATCTCCACATTTCTTAAACTTTAAAAGCATGGCTGAATGAAAAAACCATGTTTGGGTCATTTTAAGGGCATTGATATCAGTCATATCAATAAAATAATTTTTTTTACTGACGTAACAAACAGCCGGTATAATATAAAAGTAACAAGCAAAGTATTCGAGTAAGTATTATTAAGTATTCAGGTAAGTATCAAAGTGTTCAGGTAATAGTCAATCTAATATATAAAATTCTCGTGTCACGGTGTTCGAACTTGAACTCCTCCGAAACGGCTCGACCGATTTTCGTGATCCTTATCGAGGATACTAACCAGGGGGGAGAATCGGCCAACATCTATTTTTCATCCCCCTAAATGTTAAGGGTAGTCCACCCCTAAATTTTTGTTTTTATTTTTTAGGCAAAATTTTTTGTTTTTATTTTTTTATGACACAGCCTACAAAAATACATACAACCCTAAATTTTCACCCCTCTGAGATCAACCCTTATTTTTTATTTGTTAATTAAAAACTTTAATTTTTTGGCAATTTTTTTTTATTTTTTGATGACTTACAATAAAAAATCTCATATTACTCAAATTTTTTCACCCCTCTACGACCAACCCCTATTTTTTATAAACATATATTTTTTAAACATATACATATTTCTTGATTATAAGGCGGCACGAAGTTCGCCGGGTCAGCAAGTTAGTATATAATATATCGTCAATATATTTAATACTATCCGACATGTATGTAAAGGATATCTTATTTATGTTATATATGTATATCCTACTACTATTATAAAGGCGAAAGTTTGTAAGTATGGATGTATGGATGTATGTATGTTTGTTACTCTTTCACGTAAAAACTACTGAATGGATTTGAATGAAACTTTACCACAATATAGCTTATACATCAGAATAACACATAGGCTACAATTTTTGAGGTTTCTAATGTGAGGTCGTAAAAAAACACATTTTTTGCGCTTACATTGCAAACGCTGACTGAATCCTACAAGATAGATTAAAACAATGTACTACAGTATTGTACAACTTAAAAAGGTCTACAAAAGAGTCCGTGATGGTATATGTTTATCTCTTAGGAATAACCCACGGTAACCATTTTTTATCCTTTACTTTGTACGAGAAATAATGGCTTATTTACGAAGCGATTTTAAGCAATACAGTATTAATCCTTATCCAATTAAGTATCTTAAATACACTGTGCATTTAATAAAGATTAATATGGCTTTTTACTGCATGTAAATTAAATAAATATTTTCGAAGACATCACAGATTTAAAATGCAGAGTCATAGCAATTTCGGCGATAAATACCGTTTCGGTGATAAATACCGGCAGCGGTGCCAGGCGAACGGGGCGTGGGGGGAGCGGGGTAGGTGCGGTGGGGAAGAAGTGGCTCATCGCTGAGTGCTCGACCCGAACGCGGGCAGACGCGTGAGGGCAGACGTCGTTGACGGCTGTGTCCGTTTTGCGAATTTTCAAGGCACTAGCGATGGCGATTAATGGCATCTAAAACGGAATAGAGTTCGCCCGGTCAGCTACACATATATTACTAATGACGAAACTAACGCGGACGAAGTCGCGGGCAAATACTAGTACACACGTACTTCTTATTAGAAGCTCAATAATTTCAATGTATTAAGTTATAAAATAAAAAATTGAATTATTAGCGAATGCTTAAATATGATTTAGATTTCATAAAACAAACAGCACTTATTTAATTAATGTACTTGATTTAATCCTTTTCTTTATTTTAAAACTATTAAAACATAAGAATAATAACTATTGAAAAATTATATACATTCTTGCAGAATTTAAGACACAAAACTTTTTGTTTGTACATATATGTACGGGGAATATAAACCATAACTTGTGTGGGGAATATAAACCAACACTTGTGTACAACCAAAAATCATCACGTACTATACCATAAAATTTAGAGCAAATTAAAAATATTAAAAAAATAAAACGCATACAGATAAGTATTCCAGGAAAACTTCATCTGTGATTTCCCAAGAAAAATGGAGTGAAACCATTACAAGGAGTCACTGTATCCTAGGCTTTTTGCCATAATGGATGTTCTTTGCCATTATGTTCATGTTTCAGTGCTACGTTAGGTTATTTTTCAAATTAGTTACACCGATATGGTCATAATAAATTGACTTCAGTTTTATAAATGATATTCTTTATACTTCCATATATTAATAACTGACCATAATATGACCCGATTCTGAAAATAATGTTCGCAAATTAAATTCCGCAAGGAACACAATGGCACACGGATTAAACTAGTTTTTTTAACTATCCAAATAATCCAGGGCTAGCTTATTGTTTTATTTGTACTCGATTCCTACAAAATATTTTTTTACTGATAGTAGTCCTCAAATTTTTATTCTTAGTCAATCATAAGCTTATTGAAGTGCTATCTTTTGTTATTACTGTTTTAAAATGTAATTTAAAAAAAATTCACTAACTGTGGCTTTAATCATCTGTTAAGTAATCATAGAGTATGATTTAATAGAAATAGGTTCGCTTACTTTATTTTCTCTGAATGTTTATTTTCACTTTCAATCAAATTGAAAGGTTTGATCTAATTAGGACTTCTTAGACTCTATGTATCGTTGGTAGCCTTGATATTAATGTGAAAAGATTGTAATTTCAAGGGTAAACCCTTTTTATTTAAGATTTAATTTATAAAGTTTTTCTTTAAAGATTTTTTTTTCAGTGTCATTTTATTTTGTAGCAACAATAAAATCGAAAACGTGTGATGTATTGTTGGCAACTGGCATTTGTGAAAATATTAAAGGTACCTGAAAAAAATAAAAAAAACGACTATAACGACAGAGATTTTTCTGGGGAAATTATTAAAAAATATATATGAACTCCATTTTATGAAATATTAACTTGTCTATTACAGATGCCGTCATAAAAATCGTTCCTTTTTTATTTAAGCTTCCATTAGTCTGTTGAAACCTGAAAATACGGAAAACATGGGCTTCTAAAGCTAGAACTTAGTAAATTTGCTTTTTTGCTCCTATTAGTAAAAATTCTTAAAATTTAAAAAAATATTTGTTGAAAAATTTTACTTTGGTCACAACTTTCTGTTAATAAAATAAATGTTCACTCATATTGTTTGTACTTCTAATATATTAAAGTGACAATATAAATATAAGATAGTAAAAATGTGGCTGGAAACTGAAAAAAATGCCTACTGTAAATAAATATGCTCTCTCTATTGGATGGCGACGTAATCTCCTAATACATTTACCTCCAATAACAAATTATATGGTATATCATTACACAGGATTTGATACGAGAAGGGGATTTATTTGCGGTATTTTATTACAAGGATGGTCTGGGGACCACATCTTTAACTGGAATCTCATAGCAGATACATCAAATTAATGGATATTCTGTAAATAACTATCCTTATTTCTCAAATTTATAAACAGAAATAGATTTTTTTTTTGTAATATAACTCAGTCGCGCACGCGCATCTGTACGCGATGGGTGTGTGCTACTAGTTTCACGTAAAGTAATTGCAGCGGACCCGCTGCATGGACCGAATACAATGAAGTTAAAATGTAATTCGTGTAATATTGTGATCTCTGAACTTCTAGCTTACTTACAATGTAAGCTGTCGATTGCTGATGAAGAAACGTTAGTAAGGATTTGTGTATCGACGTTTTCATCAGAACAAATTGAAGAAGCAAGTTCGTTACTGTTTGAATCTATTCCTATCGAGCATCGTAAAACAAGCAGGAAAGGGAAAGGAAAGGAAGCGCGAACTCTGTATGACATAATTAGTCTTCTCAAGAGAACAGAACCAGACATTCTACCGGTATATGTGGCACGGAACCTTGAAATTTTGCCCCCAATCGGAGTCGATCATCTGGATATCTCGAAACTTTTGAAGGATTTAACGATGGTGCAAGCCGAAATTAAAAATATAAAAGCTTCATACGTAACCAAAGACCAGCTACAGGAGGTGAAAAAAGAATGCTTGGGTTCGAAGTCAGCTTCACCGCCGTTTTCAGCTGTTAAAGTCAACATGCGAAGGGGGGGCTTATAGAAATAGCGGGCCTATGGGCTTATCTCTAAATGATACCATTATATCGAATTCCGGCGAGCAAATGGAGTGTGATATTCAATCCCAAAAGTCCTGTGAACTTAACAAATACAGAAGTTTAATAATTACAAATCATGCTGAGGGTATGTCCTTAAAATCGAGTGAGAACATAACGGCCGATCGTAGCGGCTCGAGCGGAGACCGCTGGGACCCCGCGGAACGCGGTAGCGGCGGGGGGAAGGACGCATCGCTCCGATCGCCGGCACCGACCGAAGCTAACCCGAGCGTAGACGTCAACGCATTAAATAATATACAGTCGGCGAATACACTATCCTTTGCCGAGGTTATGAATTCAGACGGCGAATGGAAATTGGTTCAGCGGCGGAAGCATAATACTAAGATGTATAGATACCTCGGTATGTCGGGCAAATCAAACGACAAAGACAGCAGATTTAAAGCGGCGGTGCGATATGTTCCGATCTATATTACTAAGGTACATAAAGATACGACGGAGAAAGATATAACGGAGTATATACGTAACAAAACGAATGAAAATATAAAACTGGATAAAGTTGTATTCCCCAGTGAAAGGAATTATAATGCCTTTAAATTCTTCGTGCCCGATAGTATGACATCAATGTTTTTGGATGAATCGCTCTGGCCTCAAGGGGTAATATTTAAGCGATTTATTAATTTTAGACAGAAAGCGAAAACTGGAAATGCAGATAAATAAATTTGTAAGTTTTAACTGTAAAGGTTTAAAACGATCAATGGAAAATGTAAGACAGCTTTGTTTGACTTCAGATATAGTCGCATTGCAAGAAACGTGGACTCTTCCACATGAACTATCGTCTCTTAATACCATTGATACGGATTTCGGCTGTACGGGCACATCGGCAGTAGACACCGAGGCGGGTCTGTTGCGAGGCAGGCCTTATGGAGGTGTAGCCCTGCTTTGGCGGAAAAGTGTGTTCCAAAATGTGTCTGTAGTGCGCTGTGACAACCCTAGAGTCTGTGCTATAAAGATAGTGTTACACCAAAGGTCATTACTAGTGTTTAGTGTGTATATGCCAACGGATAAACTGATAAACGTTCCGGATTTCACGGATTGCCTCAGTTCGGTGAGTGCTATCGTTAAAAATGAAAATATCGAGTCAGTATATGCTCTCGGAGACTATAACTCACATATAAATGAACTGTTTTACAACGAACTTATAAGTTTTTGTAATGAGTTAGAATGGACGTGTGCGGATGTACAGTTTTTAGGCCCTTCGTCAGATACATATACTTTTATTAGTGAGGCCCATGGGTCGAGACGATGGTTAGACCACTGTATAGCCACCATGTCTGCGCTAGCTTCAATTGTTAATGTTTATGTTAAGTATGACGTGTTTTGGTCGGACCACTATCCCCTGATAATAGAGTGTGACTTAGGGGTGGTTAAACCAAAACTTATATGTAACTCGAACATAATTGCGAAAGATATACTATGGGGCGACAAAAAGCCGGAACAGATAAACTTATATAGTAAGCTATGTCACGAGAAATTAAGTACCTTAGAATTGTGTAATGAAATTAAATGCTGTAATTATTTGTGTAAAAATGTAACTCACAATATGTATATAGATAAGCTCTATAGTGACATTATATATATTCTAACTAATGCCGCCTCGGAGTCTAGCCGCACAAACAGGTGTTTTAGGAAGCGGCCGGTGGTTGGATGGAACAGACATGTACGCGAGGCTCACAGGGAGGCTAGATCTGCGTTTTTAGTCTGGGTATGGTACGGTAAGCCAATGAAAGGTCATGTGTACGAGGAAATGCGAAGTAGCCGGAGTATTTTCAAGTCCCGTTTGAAGTGGTGCCAAAACAACGCCGAGCAGATAAAAATGGATATCCTGGCTTCGCATCACTTCAAGCATGACTTTAGACAATTCTGGAAGGCTACTAACAAATTTAATAGCGGGATGAGTCTTCCTGTGAGCGTCGATGGCATTAGCGAACATGGTCTCATTGCTAATGCGTTTAGGGATCATTTTGCTGTAAGGTCCCCGTTAGGTTCTTCACAGTCAGAGGTAGGGGAAGCATCGAGTGACCGGGGGATCGGAATTTGTTTTACATCTGAGGACGTAAACAAGATTATTACCTCAATGTCGCGTGGTAAGTCCCCAGGCCATGATGGGCTTAGTATAGAGCATTTAAAGCACGCTGGCCCCTTGCTTCCGGCACTGCTTGCGACTTTTTATAATCTATGTATTACACATTCTTACCTGCCGGCAGCTCTGATGAAAACTATGGTTGTGCCTATCGTGAAGAACAAAACGGGTGACGTTTCTGACAAGTCCAATTACAGGCCGATTTCTCTTGCTACCGTTACAGCTAAGGTGCTTGATGGTCTGCTTGATATGCAACTTGACCATTATATTAAACCACATGACAATCAGTTCGGATTCAGGCCAGGACTATCCACTGAGTCTGCCATTTTGTGTCTCAAGCAGACTGTCAGGTACTATACGCAGCGAAAAACACCAGTTTATGCATGTTTTCTCGACCTATCCAAGGCGTTCGACTTGGTACATTATGATATCCTGTGGAAAAAGATGCGGGATACTGGTATTCCGGAAGGAGTAAACAATATCTTTAAATTTTGGTATAGAAACCAGTCGAACGTCGTGCGATGGTCAAATAGTTTCTCGTCCCCGTACAGGTTGGAATGCGGCGTGAGACAGGGTGGATTAACCTCACCTAAGCTCTTTAACCTGTACATTAACGCTTTAATAGAGGAGCTCAGCAGCACGCGTGCCGGATGCCATATTGATGGAGTAAATATCAACAATATCAGTTACGCAGACGACATGGTGCTGCTGAGTGCCTCGGCGTGTGGGATAGGGAAACTGTTGGACATATGCATGAACTATGCTCGCAATCATGGTCTTGTCTATAATGTATGTAAAAGCGAATACATGGTCTTCAAGGCTGAAGGAAAAGCACTGCCCTCAACGATACCGTTGATTAAACTAGACGGCGCCCCATTGAACAGGGTCAGTCAATTTAAATATCTAGGGCATGTGCTATCCTTTGACCTGAAGGACGATGCGGACATCGAGCGAGAACGCAGGGCGTTGTCTGTTAGAGCGAACATGATCGCACGCAGGTTTGCTCGTTGTACTACACTTGTTAAAATAACTCTTTTTAGAGCCTTCTGTACATCCTTCTACACGAGCAGCCTGTGGATTGATTATTCGCAAAAACAGTACAACGCCTTACGTGTGCAGTACAACAACGCTTTTAGGTTGCTGATGGGGCTGCCTCGATTCTGCAGCGCGTCTGGGATGTTCGCCGAGGCGAATGTGGACTGCTTTTACGCGACCATGCGTAAACGGTGTGCATCCCTGGTGCGTAGGGTTCGAGCCAGTTCTAACAGCATCCTAGTAGCGTTTTCTGACAGGTTTGATTGTCAGTACTTGAACCATTGCAGTATGGTCCATGTGCTGACAAACAAATCATGTCAGAAAGGTACTGCAACACTATAATTTTAAGTTATGTAGTTTTTTTTTTTTTTTTACTAACAATAGGTTAAGGAGTGCACCATACTAACAATTTTGTAAATATGATCAGATTGGTTGAAATAAAGATTATTATTATTATTATTATTATTATAACTTATATCCACATACAAAACGTATCAATAGACTTTTGTGCTCGTTAATTTTGACAAAAAAGTGTAGAAAAGAACTTATAACAATTAAAAAAGATCTTTTTTAATTTATAATGATAGCGAAACTGTAAAATAGAGTGAACATTTTATCCTCGTGTTATTAATAATTAATTATCTATTAGAAAATTATAAAAGGACTTTAACAAGCTTTTTGATATGACGAGTTTGTAACTTAAGAATAATTTTCAATACTGTTTTGTATTTAGTTGAGTAAAACAGAATACTGTTTTGATTGATATAAAGAGTTTTAACGATTTATGTTGTAATTTCAATTATTTGGATCGTAGTCCACTTTATTTACTAAGAGAAATAAACTAATAGCATGATTTATAATATTCCATTGTTGAGTTTATACCACATACCAGAACATTAAAAAGTTAAATATTTAATCAAATCTGCTACCTCGAAACCTTTTTTCTATGTCAATAAAATTTTAATTAGCTGTAAAAAATTATAATAACGAATCTACAGACTTACATTTATTTTAATTGCAGAGGTTATTCAGCTTCATACAAAATTTATGAAGTCTTGATATCAAAAAATAATAGCCGGTAAAGATATGTATAATAAAATGTAAGTTACTTATGTATTTGATATTTATAAATTAATTTAGAACTAACTTTTGAAAATCAACTACATAAAGAATTTGATCTGACGATTCAAGCAATCAAAATATACAAATATACAGTTTTCACAGAGTTCGTTCAATAGAGTTCAGTAGGGACGTATATAAGACTTGATAGAAAATTTGAGTTTCTACATGCACTTTATGTAATGAAGTAATTTTGTAGCATTTAATATGCCTTGAATATTCGCAGCAAATTTTTCTTTAACAGAAGTTTTATATTTTCAGCCGACAAGTTGAATATGAGAATTGATAAATTTAACGCTTGATGGATTATTTTTCTCTATAGTAGCTGCCAAATAAATAAATTTTTATCATGCATTCTTAATATGAGGAATAATAAAAACTTTAAAATTTTATTCAATTTATAAAATATATTCGTTATTTTAGTCCATTTTCCGTATTTATTTTTTAACTAGTTTAGCTTTTATGTATTTCAAAGGTTTAACATTAATATACATTATTATAATTAAAATATAACTATTATGAATACTCTAATAATTTATTTTCCTTATAATCAATGGTCACACTAATTTCTACTTTTTTATATACTAAATTACACTATTCAATTTATTTACTACATTTCCATGTAGTGTTTCCAGATTTTAATGCACATCAATTTTTCAGCCTTTGTTATTTACATGTATGTATGTTTCAGAACTTGTAATTTTTGTCAAATGTTTATACTATAAATAAAAAAAATATGTATATATTTAAACATTGCAATGTATTATAACACAGGAATCGATATTAAGTGATCAAGAAAGAAATACTGCACGATGTCTTTCAGTTAAATGAATATGTCTTAAATGGGGGCAGGTATATTGAAAAAATCGGGGAATATACATAAAAAAACTTAAGAACCTCCTCCTCTTTTGAAGTTGGCTAATAACAAGATTACGAAATCTGTCCTACGTCAATGAAGGTCAAACATTATACATCTTAGGTAACGCCATTACCAAATGTGTATAATGTATGCCTACACATATCAAGGATATTCTTAATTTTTTTCAGGATTCCTTGATCATGTCTTAATGTAATCATTATGGGACCATTTGTAAAGTCTATCTTTTTAAATAAATAAATCGAGTTTGGTTGATGTTCAAATTACTCGTTAATTAGTCGTACACAAATTAATGCAAATTTAAGACTTACATGGTTTTCTTATAGTTGTCATTGTCGGAACGGGACCAAATTGAAATGAGATCAATCGGGAAGCACCAGCTATAAAATAAAATAAAATCATGAAATTGTCTTGGATGGGTTGAAAGTAATGAGGTAACAAAAACAAACAGATAAATTGATAAGCTGAAACTTTTTTGAAGTTGACAAAAAAAAAATAAAATTAACGTTTACCTTGGATTTATGAGAATTTTATGTAATAAGTTTCGACTGTTTAATGAATCTTAATTATGTTTATACTATACCGATGCATAATGTTTGTCATAAATTATAACAAACCAGATATCAAATAAATACAACTATATTTATTAACTGGAACGTTGAACAATATTATGACAATAATATTACGACGAATAAACACGACGAGTTGTTGCAATGCCTACAAAACACAAATTACATTCCAAATATTGTTACATATACACGAAATTGTGTGTGAATTTATTTCTGTTTACTGCATTCCCATCCGTTGTTTAATGTTTTGAAAGATAGTTTATAAATCACTCAGAACAAAAGGAACGCTGGAAGGGAGTGGAAATAAATTGCTAACAAAGAATTTATCTGTTTTATTCCGTACAAGGAATAATACTGCCGTTTATAAGCAATTCGATATTATATGTAGTTTGCCCTTAGTACTTATACCTTACAGCTTTTTGGTTCTACAAACTTTTAGTTTAATATTCTAATAAGTTTCTATCCTAACATATGGTACACTGAAAACAAAGTCAAAAGACATTCGTCATCACTTACACTATATATTTTTTAAAGATTAAACTCTTTCAAGATATCTACAATTCGAAGATATGTATACATATATTCACTTTAGTAATATCATTGTGTAACAATGAAGTAAACTCGGAAGGTAAACAAAATTACAGTAATCTTTATTTAACTTGACTAAGTAATAGATTTCAAAGTAAATAAAATACTTATAATACCAAAGCTTTCAGTATTCAAATTTTAAAATTTAAAGGATATCGTTTTGTTTTCTTTTAACAACCTGGAAAACCTTGAGGTAAATGCTGAATTACATACACGGGCCGTTTTAGCTATTCTCTTATATGTGAATACTACCATAAACACTATTGAATTATGAACATAAATAAACAAGTAAATACAGAGCACTTGTGACGAAATTCTTCAAGTCTAGCCTTTTTAACGTCATGTGAAATATATCAAAGACATTAGTGAATATTAAGGAAAGGACTATGTTTTTTAATTTTATAGATATCCACATATCTTCGAAATTACTGTAATATGTCTCTTCAGGGGTATTAAAACTCCGTCTCCGCATTTTTTACTACTTTTGGTGTAACGAGCTCTGCCGTAAACTAAGTATCCAGCATCAAACAATTCATGAATTAAAACACCAGCATCAATGTTGGCATCCATCAAGCTGGTAACGTCGCATTCACAGTGTATAATATTTAAGTGAATATCATTTATTTTATACCTTAATCCATTAACAATTTGATGTAAATTCATTATTGTTTATGCTTTTGAAATAAAAGGTATTGTAAAGAAGATATTCAAAAGATTGCTTCTCAAAGTTTTCTAATAATAATAGTTGAAGTTTCAAATTTTGACAACATTAACCTATGTTTTTATTAGTTCTGACTTATCCAAATTTGTATAATTTTCGTCTTTACCTTTCCTTTAAAAAATGTCTGGTGATATTATAGCCTCTCAACGAGAAAGTAAATCCTTGGTCTCCTTTAAAATAAAATTACTCTTTCTCTAAAACCAGTATTCATATATGTTCATCAAAACATATTTTAATAGAAAATTTATTTTCAAATTATAAAAGATTTATACCATTTAAAATATTTGAAAACACTTTGCAAAAGACGACGAATATAAAAAAGGATGATCAAAGAAATAAATTTTATAGTGCTTGCTTTGTACTAAAACATTAAAAAAATTTTGTCGTACTAAATTTCGTTTTTCTAATGTTTAGAGGTTTTGTTCACTATCTTTCAAGCAGTAATCGTTCATAGTATTATATTATAATTTTTTCGGATGATATTGTATGCTATTCGCGCTTAGATGGTACAACTTTCCACCCCTAGTCAGTGATATGATCGCGTCGTATTACTCAAAATTAAGGTTTTCTATAATAACTAAAGAAGGCCCTTCAAAAAGTTTGAGTTATAATGTAGGACTGTTTCAAGGTTGTTGTCTATCTCCAATTGTATTTAATATCGTAATTAACATCTTAGTAGTCAAACTAATCTGTAACGAGAAAAAATGGGGTTATCGGTATAAGTTTAATAATAAATACACGGAATCCATTTTAGCCATCCTTTTAGAATTTAGAAATACAGAGCGAGTGGTTAGACATAGGAGATTTTTGCATCCCATTAGCATTAAAATGGCGCTCTTTAATTTATGATTGGCCGCCAGCATTGCTAAAATTCCATCTCAATGCGTTCCAGATGACTCTCCCAGATCAGAGTAATTTAGTAAGATGGGGTGAAAGTACCGAAAAAACTTGCTATATCTGTGGAAAGGCAGTTGGAACTGCTAAGCATCTGCTGGTGGGATGTAAGGAACTCCTGGACAGCGGTCACGATAGGGTTCTAGAAATCATACGTGAAGCGGTTAGTCTTTCGGTAGCCAGAGCGCAAAGGGAAATAACCACAAATGAACGATCAGTAGGTTTTGTGAGAGAGGGCACTAAGGCTACAAATTCAAACGTCAAGCTTTACTCCATCCTTAAAGCGGCGTCGGACTGGACTATACTGATGGACACGTATGAAAAACAATATAAAATCCCCGAGGATATATTTTTGTTTTCGCGAATTTTAAAGCGCGTTGTGATGATAGAGCTTACGGTCCCTTGGGAAACCAACATTCCCAAAGACCATACCATAAAGGTCAACAAATATTACGAGCTCACGAATGAACTCACTCGAAATAGGTTCGTAGTAGATTTGTACGCGGTAGAGGTGGGAGCGAGAGGTATAACAGCGAAATCTCTCTACAACCTACTAAAAGACTTGGGCTTGTCCAGAACTCACATTAATGCATTCTTGGAACGTACATCGAAGGCAGCCCTAGTAGGTTCTTTTCAAATTTGGTTCGGTAGGGAGAGGAGCTTGGACAGTGGAGGTGAGCGTATAACGCGCGTTAGTTAAGGGGCCCCTTAAACCTACACTTGGGTCGCAAGTCCCAGGCACTGTTGAAGCTCCTCTCCCTGGAACGCGATGGACCCGGCACCCGCACGGTGAATCCATGGAATGCTGAGAAGTTTCGTCTCAGAACATGGGGAGTACATCGTATTAATACCTAATCCTCCTTTGGGCGTCTTCTGCTCTAGTTATAGTATGAAATCAAATATTTATATTTTTTTCTAATTGAAACCTTTATGATGATGAAAAATATTTTAAGACTACAAAGACCTCTTCATTGTGTCTAAAATATATATCGGATTTATTACAAATTCGTTGTTTTTAAAGAGAGAGACGCCAGCCTCGCTGACGTAACTAAATGTCACTTCTTCTAGAACGTTCCATGATATTTTAAAATGAAACTTTAATTGTTCTTAATGCTCCTGTATTTCTCGAAGGTTCTTCATAATCACATACTGCAATGATACGCGCGCGCCCGCTTATCACTTTTTACAACATCATGATAAAGTTAAAAATCATGCTGAAGGTATATACTACATCTTATTATTTTACGAACTGGTAATTATTGTCGTAAATAAGTTTGAAACATCGACTTAATTAATGAATTTATTTAAAGATGAATAAAGCAAAACAAAAGGAATAGAATCATTTGGTCATGAAACCGATTATTTATTTTTTCTCTGTAATATAATATCGGCCTTTTGTTATAATATAATATATGACGCTCTAAACAGCAATTAATTTTTACAAATATTAATACCAATAGGAATGAGGTATGTTTTAACATAGAACTAGTGCATATTAAGTATAAATATATTTTAATGAAAATTAAGATATTTTTACTATTTTCTTACAGAAACTGTTAAAGTATAATCTAGGAATAAATTCTAAAAAAAATATCTAAACTCCTAATGTAAATAAATGAAAACTACTTTTATTACTTTTTAATACTACATAAGTACATATATACATTTTGTAAATATCTAATCACATCATAAATAAAATAACTTAAAGTGATCACAACCCTATTGAAATTTGCAAATGAAGTAAATTCTACTCCCTAAATCTCTAAATATATATATATTGATAAAATAAGAGAGTTAACATTTACAAAGTATAATTTTATTTTTCATTTTCGTACATTTAAATTAAAAGGTCTTTGTCACTAAGGTTTTTCTTTTAATGACTTTTGTTATTTTAAGTATCGCTGGATATGCTATCGCGTTCTACAAACCAGCCCTTCATTGTGATATCCTTATAATGAATGTGCATTAAAATGACTAGTCCGCTATGTTGGACATACTGCTATGGTGGCTTAAACATCTCGTGATAACCATGCATTATTATCCATATTACACTTGTATACAAGATATGAACTTAATCGATTGAAAATATCTATTTCAAAATTTAGATGTAAGATTTCAACCGAACAAACAAACATTGTAAGTCGAGTAAAAGCTTGTACAGGGCTTGTACATATCGTATTATGCATATATAACTACGGCAGTTTCGATTTTTAGATTGTGTTATGTCTTCAAGGTTATATGATCAGTCTAAATTGTATTTCTTGAAAAAAAAATGCTTAAACATTTCTTAAGTTTTTTTTTCAATGGTATCATAAATTTGCGATTTAAATTTTATAGGAAAATAAAGCATCAACTGAATACTATCACTAGAATTTATGGAAATTATTCATCTCTACGTAAATGAATTTAAAAATATAAAAGCCTTAAAGTTTGTCAAAAGCATAAAATCATCGGTTATGGTATAATTTTATATGTTACTTAAAGTCATGAATACTTCAAATTATTTCGTAAAAGTCAATTCAAAGAAATTAATTCAACCGATTGGGACTATTAAAGTACTATTTCATTTAATGGATTTTATAGAGCTGCATAAATTGAACACGCAAATGGAATATCAATTATTATTATAAATGGTCAATTAAAGTTAGTCAAAGTCGTGATATCATATAATAATTAACTCGTGGTAAAATCACAATCAACATTTTGTGACTTAATTTAATACATTGAAAATCTCATCATGCAGAAACCCAAACATTCACGTAATACGTGAATATGAATGTTTTCGATAAATTGTAGTAAAGAGATTACTTTTCTTCAGTTTCGCATCTGATTAAAAATATAAAATGAATTATTATTCATAAAACTGTTTAAAATGATATTATATGAATATTTAAAACTTTGTAAAAATACCATTATTGTTTAAAAACATCTCAGAATATAAATATTAAGTTGACATAAACTGATCGAATAAAATTTTTATAATCGTAATAATTTGTGCTCTTAGCATTAATTAATCCAAATTGTTTTTATTTCATAACTAAACAGCCGAAATGAAATGAAAATATAAAACAGTATTTTTACCAATTCAATTATTATTAATAGTATTTGAGCTTGGAACTTAAACTCTTTCCTTTTTCTTTTGAAAACTTTGTCAAGCATCAAATGCCTTTCGCATAAAATTAAATAGTTTTCCAACTCCATGACTTCAAATTTAAATAAAATAAAAAAAATAAAAATAAACTATGATTTTGCTATAATTTCCCTTCTTTTATTAATACTCATACAAAGTAGGTTAATAAAAACATTAAAAAAAAAATTAAATATTATTATCACTATTATTTAGAAAATTTACTAATTTAGTTAAAGATTTACATAAAACCTGCCTTATATACTCTTTTGGAAGTAATTAATGAACTAAACAGAATCCAAATTCACTTTGATGTTCAACACATCAACAAATACGCCACAGTAACGAGATTACTTTAACATCCCCCGTGCATGTGTGCCAAACTATGTATATAACCCCGATTAGAAGCATCTATAAAAAATATTGTTATATTAAAATGCTACACTAATCTAATCTCTAATTTATAACGAAATCTCATTATAAGCTCACACTACAACCCATTATTAAAAAAATGGAAAACAACTTAAATTATGTACATGGTTATATATAGGTACATTCACATGTATCACAACAAAGCTATAGCACTAGATAGAAACATAGATCATGTTAGTCCAGACATCACTGGATTCCAACGCCTCCAATATCACCCCTGAGCTCCTGGCTGGGGTCGGCTTGGTCATCCGGCTCCAGTGAAAGTCCGGCGTCGTTGGGGTGATTCTAATCGCTGGAATCACACCCATACTCCGAGGGAGTATGTCCGGTCTTTGCCAGGACCGGCCAGTCACTGGTGTGTCCTGTTGCTGAGAGATCCGGGGTACACCGACATAGCGGCCGATGGC